GTTGGATGTCCGTAGATGAGACTCAGAGAACAAGCACACCCAGATCCATACGCTAGGACTGAAACGACTAAAATATTCTTACAGCTTCAAAAGGTGTGTAAGCATAAAAGTAAAATGGAATAAATTTGATGTCTCATAGATCTATGGTTGAAGTCCCGTGAAGTCCTATCAAGTCTTAAACAGTCTTTTGAAATCTTTGAACTATAGCTTTTAATATATGTCCAAGTCCCATAAAATCTTCTGAAGTCATATGAATTCTTTTGAAGTTTTTTAAAAATATGAAATCTTTACGTTTGAAGTTTCATGAAGTCTTGAAGTTTTCTGTTTTTTTTCCTCGCTCTAAACGATATATTAAACATTTGCTTTCTTTTAAAGTTCATCACATAAAACGCCATATATATACATACAAATGATTCCTGCCAGTTTATTAATTACAATTAAAATGACAAATTTTGCTTTTCTTTTCCCACTTATACTCATCTTACGTGTACCATTTCGAAAAATGTGTCTTCCATTTATTTTTACAGAACGTAAACTCACTGAGGTAGATTTCATTAAAAACTATCTTTATGGAAAAAAAAAGTTTTGTTATATTTATTTTGGTCTCATCGTGATGAACAACTGGGTAGTACATTTCATGATGAAATAGAATTATATTGTTAAGTTCATTTACCAATTTGATGATGCAAATTACATTATGTTGATTGTTGTTTTTCTCCGGTGATTTGCTGCTACATTTATTTTTTTAAGATAAAAAATCAAGACAAAAAATCATAGTAAAATAAAAACAAAAAGATATATTTGTGATACAACAAAAGACATGTTTTATTGACATATCTTTTATTTTTACTGTTCTTTCTTATTTTTGTTGATTAATTTTTTGAACAAATGACATCGTGAATGTAACTATAATTAAGAAGTTTCCTGGCGGTATTCTTCTTTGTGAGTAGTCCAATAAAGAAGTTCAGCAACAATCTTTGGGTGTTTGTCAACAAACTGTTTCCACGATTCACTTACATCGATTATCGCTTTTCCATTATCAACGAAATAGTCAGTACATCTTTGTTTGAGTAATGCATTATTGTATTTATATGCAGATTCTATTAACTTTAAGACATTATCTGTGTTGATATGATTTATAAGAACTTAACGAATATAAAAAATAATATGATTATGATAAGTTAAGTGCCATAGAGAAATAAAACTTACATTGAGTCGTATACGCTTTTAAACTTCTAATGTCATATCGACAAGCAGCATCAAGAAGATTATATGCTACGAATAAAAAAAAAACCATATATTCACATATCATTATTTAATAATAGTGAAAAAATAAAATCAAAGAATT